CTCTGCCTTCTGCACAAGTGTGTGAAGATGAGCAGTGGCCCTGGGAAAGAAATTCTTAACTTAGATGTGAAACTTTGAAGTAAAAAGGAGAATTATTTTGGCTTGTTTTATGCGTGTTCTTGTTTTTCCTCATGTCACATAATGTTTTGTACAGACAAGTAGGGGTGAAATACAACCCAAAGTTTCAGTAATATTCTATTTTTTGGTTACTCCCCATTAGTGTTTACAACTGTGACTGGTCTAAAGTGTATTAGTACTACTAAAAGTCCGATGTAGAACTGATGCCCTCAAAATCACAACCCAGCATTGGGCTTGTGTTAGAAAATACAGAGGTCTATGGTGACAACCATGTTCCCCAGCCATGGGAAATGCTATTCTAAATTTATCTGTATATAATCTTTTTGTTTCCTTCTTTTGTTTGCTTCTTTTTATGGCTGAACCTTACTGTGGTTTTGATACTAGGAATTCAAACTTTGAGTTGCCCTATTTTAAGTCTTTTGACATGAACTGGGCTCTTCTGTGAATGAAAGTAGAAGTTGGTCTTGAAAAGGACAGTGTATGTCTGGGCAGGGCAGAAACAACTATTTGATGTTCAGAGTGAGCTGTGCTATACAGTTTCTTAGCACTTCTTTCCGATTAATATACAGGGATAACTGTGAAAATGAATTTGATGTTTCTAGTGCTTCATCCTGTTAATGCTACCCTTGTGTTCTGGATGACTCTGGTCAATGAATCCCTTCTTTCATTGGCAATTTTTGTCCCATTAATAGAGCAGAAACCTTACCTATAAGGTCTCAACACTCTTTCAAGGATTGCCCACTTAAAATCCCAGTAAATCAATTGCTTATGCTCCTAGGTTTACTTCAATGTCCTCTTCACAAGTAGATTTTCTTTTTAATTATGTACAGTAGAGCAGAAATTGATGGCTATTTGTAATATACAGTGATTTTTAATATACAACTTCCTCAAGAAAATACAGTATTACACTGTGGGTTCTTCAAAGACTGTACATGATTACACAACATAGATTTGTGTAAACTATGTTTTACCACTAGAATGCTCAATTTTACTTTTATAGCAAAGTAAAATATACCCACATGTGACGTAGTCAGCCTGGTGAGCATCTCTATAAATTATTTGTTGAGTAACTTCTGTTGTGATAAATGAATTGTTGAGGAAAATGAATTTTTTGCAAGTATATGGTAAAAGAGGAACTGCAAACAGTTGGGAAAAAAAGTTGTATTTCCAGATGTGAAGCTTGAAGCAAGCTATGAAAATGGAGAGCAGCCTTATGAAGAGGATATTGTCCCTTGTTTAAAGTTAGCGATGCTGATACACAAAAACTACTGATTTGCCCAAGGTCACCCAAATGATGGGAAAATCACAGAAACAGGATTTTGAACTTCTAATTCCAGCTTCTCTATGTGGTTGTGTGAATGTCCTTTTTCCTCTTTGTGAGGGTTTCTTATACCCAAGTGCTTAGTAGCCTTGAGAGGAACACAGTTTGTAGATAGCTTAGCTGTCAGTTTTTACCTTGGCTTTGAAGAAAAACTTAAACTTAGGAAATTTATTAATATACAGTTGCATGGAGTTGGCAGTAAATACTAAACTGGAAAAACATTGGCAGTATGTTTGGTCACTACTAGAAGTCACTGAATGTTATCAACTTGTTCGGTTGTGTATCTTAAGGTGTTATGTAAATGTTTATGCATAGGATATCTTTAGGCATCTGACAAAAATGTGATATAAATGGATTATATCAATCCAAACAGTGAACTTGTGCAAGTGTAGCACCCTTTATAGCGCTAGAGCTTTTAAAGGATGTGCTTCTACATTAGATCTATGGTCACTTTCTGTGTAAACCTTCAGGCTCGTTTTGTGGAAGAGCGAGGGTTTTCTGTTTAATTTTCCCATTCAGTGGAAAATGTACAATTACTGCAAGCATGCCTGTAAATGTTCTACAGCCTATTCAGGAAACATCCTGTATGCGACTTTGCATAGGAGCACTTGTTCTATCCAATGATATGCTCTCAGATTTTTGTCTGTTCCTGAACTATTGTCTTATATATACGTGGAAGTTACAGTGAAAACTAAGTGTTGAGAGAAATGAATAACAGCTTTGTTCTTGCTTTGTGGATAAAGCCTGCTTTGCAAAAATACCCTTAAGCAACTTTCTACATACGTGTCAAGTTCATGTTCTTAGTAGCTGAATCTAATTATTTCTGACAAAGTGAAATGTTAAAGTTGGATGGTGATACTGAGAGCAGATCCTTTGTGGAGGGAGAGAAAAACAGGAGGAGGTAACTGTCTCGAGGAACTGTAATATAAGAGAACTACATATGACTCCATAAATACAAACAGGAAATGATGGTGGAATAAGAGTTATATCATGAGGTTTCTTTTAGCTCAAGTTGTGTTGGATTGCTTGCTGAGACAGTTTAACCTGAGCTGCTGCTCACTTTGCAGCATATCTGAGACACTTGATTTAAGCCTGGTAAAATTAACAGGAGTGTTTCCATTAATTCTACTAATTACTGAGCTTATAGCTAGCATCAGAAGATCTAATTTGGCTTTTTTTCCAGTGAAATTCTGTGCTTTATGTCTGAGTATTTATTCTAGTAGTCCAAATGAGGGTGGATCTTAAAAACGTTCTCCTTGGCAAGTGTTAGTTACAGCTCTCCTGAGAGGGGTCCAAAATATTTTTGGTGCTGAATCTGAAGTAGTACTGCTGTTTGTGCAAGTTCAGTAATTGAAGAGTAAGGAAAAAGTTTATCATCCAGAGGAATGAATCCCCTTCTGTTTTTCCCAGGCATTGATCCTATTTTTTAACCTCAGGTGAATCCTAATCTTGAGATCTCTTTCCATTGCCAAAAAATGCTTGTACTTAATATGCCAGCCAAACACTGAGACCAGATTTGTGGTTGAACATCACAAGATCCTGATATCCCCATGCACGGTGAGGTGATATCAGTGTTTGGAAAATGTGCTAGCATTTTCCTATGCTGACATATCTCTTGCACCATTTGCTTTACTCTGTGAGCCAGGTACATAGAATTCCTGTCTCATGTCTCTAGCAGAGCTCTGCTGCTGACAGGATTGCTGCAACAAAGCTATTACTTTTCTACCAAAAATTTTGTACTCTGTATTAGACTGATTAGGCTAGATTTGCTTTTGAGACAATGTACTGATTTTATTAGGTTTACACTGATCATCTCCTGGCTTCTCTGTCCTTGTAAGTTATGTCAGAGCTCATCGTTGTCAAGATTTAGGAACTGACCTGTTTGCAAGTTTGAAAATGAGCATTTAGGTTTTGAATTAGATACAAGATGAGGAAGGCATCATAACCTTTTTTGTTCAACATAAAATGTTTAGTGCATGGGATTGTGGTCCTTGTCTGAGGTTGCTAGGTGTGGCCAGTACTTGTAATTTCTTTGTTTTAAGATCGCTTTTATATAAAGCTATTTATAACATCAGACTCTTCACATTCCTATGACGTTGACAACTGCAAGGCTATAAGAACAAGTGTTTGAACTGAGATACCTGTTGCTCAGCCACTGAAATAACGAACTGATACTGACATTGCTTTGCAGAAAAAGGACCTCTCATTAGAGCCCTGTGTAAATAGTTGTTACAGGAACAGAGACATACAGCTGCTCTGTCTGGGTTACTGAGATGCGATTCTTTCCCTGAGGGATCAGAGTAGGATGCGGGCTACGCTACAGCTTTCCCTGGAATGTCCCATGTAAAAACATGGCACCAGTCATAATAAGAAAAACGGGCATGCCTGTGCAATTTATCCTTGTTATGTGCCTTTTTTTGGATGTCAGACATGCTGTTGGTTTTTTACAGGTCTTGAAGAAAAATGCTCTTTGCTATCAGTGCAGGGAGAGAAATTTCCTTTTCTCTGTTACAATAATTTGAGTAAAACTGTCTACAGCTCTGAGGCTCTTTGATAGCAGTCTGTGTCTGCCTTACATGAGAATGTGTGAACATTTTAGTGCCGTGTGATGTCTCTTTCTAGTCCAGTGCTGAATGAAAAGTGGATTCCCAGAAGTACATTAACTGAGCCTATAACCTGCAAAACATATGAACTAAGATTCTTGATAATATGTAAAAGCTGGAAAGATCAGCTGCTTGCCATTGCCTTTTTAGGTGCTGCTTCAGACTTGTTTTGGAACAGGCTCTTATTACACTGGTTCTTGGCATCTTCTGTATAGGACCACAGCAATTTTGCCAAATTACTTGGAAGGCCAAATATTTCTACTTGTGACCCAAGTCTGAATTTGAGCTTGAGCCCATTGTGGTACAGAGCCCGTAAACTCACAGCACTGCTTGCAATTCCCTTTGCCAGCAGTCTACTCTGTGAACAGCTGCTGGAGCATGAAAGGCCAAAGGGAAGTGCCTCAGTTTTGCCCTAGTCCTTTCACACCACCACGTCACTGGAATATGCCCAAGTGCATGGTGAAGGCAAGCAGTCTCGCTAGTGTAGAACAGCCTGTACAGTTGACTTTAACTGAAACATGAATCACCTCAGTCCTGAATTATTTTAATCTGATCAGTCATCTCTGTTAAGGGGTGTAAAGAGACAGCAAAGCAGAGAGAATGGCTGCCAAATAGAGGATGCAGGACACAAATAAAGCTGCTAAAGTGAGATGAAATAAGAACTAATAATGATTTATTCCAAATGCCACTGGGGTTACCATGTCAATGACTTTAGTGAGAGATTTAGGTGTAATGAGTTTTGTGGGCTTTTCCACGAATGATTTTGGTAGTTTCAGTTGAAGTGAAGGAAAGGTGAAGTTGTTAGTTACATAGGGAATACACACGAGTTTTCAAGTGCTCCTAAACAAATTCTCCCTAATTAATATATGCTTTTCAAGCCTCTTGTAAGTAGACAAGCACTAACAGCTGCAGTTCTTTTTATAGACACAAACTAATCTCTAGTACATGTTAGAGCTGAAGGATAGAGAGAACAACATGCTGTGGATTCATAGGGCTTTTCTAGCCATCAATGTATTCTTTTAATACTCTCTAAAAGTAGAAGAGAATGCAGAAGAGCAGAGTATAGTCTTCAAGAATATTAATTCTGAACAAAATTGTAACAGGAGTGAAAAGGCTAGCTCTTACTGGCAAGTTGTACACAAATGCATCTTATTAGCACAAGAAAAAAGCACATGTAAGCTTTGACCTATTTTCTTAATGTGTTCAGCCTTTTGCAGCCTGTATGAAATAGGCAACCTTTGCTAGCATTTCTTCCCTACTGTCACCTGTTTTCCTGGCAAAAGATGGGGACAATTATATGCTTCATGTTTTCTTATTTTGTAAGCCAAAACAGTAAGTAAGAATGTAATTGCTCAGGCTTCATGAACATCTTTGAACAGGCTTCCTGTTTGAAGATATGTTTTTGCCCTTCTATTTCCTTATTGCTAGCATGTGTCTTGTCAGTTTAACATTGTTTTCTGCATGGAAACAATATCCAGTTGTGGTAGGTAAAGGGAGAAACTGTACTTTTTTTTTTTTTTTTTCATTTCCAATGCCTATGATTTTATTTATGCAGAAACACCCAAGACTTTCAGTGTTTTCTTTTGGTTGTTTATTACCTGTCTGAAATAGCCACTTATTTGAGATCTGATGTTCAGCTGCCTCAAAAGACATTATCACCTCCGTTTTTAATTCAGTTCAAAGTAAGTTTCAAATATTTGGTTGTAATCAATGACCCATGTCTTCTGGAACTGACTGAACTTTTTTGCCTTCAAAGGAATAAGCTGGTTATATTTGTATAATCTGATGGCTTTCTCTGATATGACATCAGAACCAATTTACTTAGAACAAAATGGCTTGGGTGGTTTCCTCTATTCCTGCAACCAAAGGGAGAGCTATTTAGGCACCTGTTGTTAAGAACTGCTTCAATAGCTCTATTTATTCTATGCTTTTAGACTTAAAAGGGACATATCCCCACTGTGGACTGACTACACCTTATCATTCTTGCGGCGTAAACTTCTACAGATTGTAAATTAATTCTATCTACTAATCTTTTTTATTCCAGAAGGAGCACCAGGGAAAAGCAGATTACTTTTTCATCCTCTAGAGTCTCAGAAATAAAAACAAAACAAATGTCTGAGACTTCAAATTAGTGCTCAAGTGCATTACCTTTCAATTGCATTGTACAAGAATATGAGGAAACTTTCTAATTACTAAGAGAAAGGAGCACTGAGTGTTTTCATTTGCTTGAGGAACTTCAATAATGAAAGCATCTCCAGAAAGCAATTTAAGCTTTTCCACAAATAGCTTTGAAGTTACTCCACAGTAATTAGACAAAGGCTGGATCTCACGCTTCCCTTTTCTCTCAAATTAATCAAAAGAGCTTGTAGGCAAGATTGTAGGCAAGATCCATATAACAGTGTCATATGCCTGAGAAGAGTAAAATCCAAGTGAGAAAAATAATTTATTTGAGCCACAAAAAGAAGAAATAATAAATTGCAGTGTGGCTCAGATCAAAAGTGAAGCACTGGAGTCAGTTCAGAAACTGAACACTTGATTTTATTCTTGCTTGTATTGTGTTTCTGTAGAAGTGTTTCAGAGTAAGGTAGGAAAGCCTTCTGGATTCAGCTGGTTCATGGTTCCTCCAGAGATACTGGTGAAGGTGATATTCTGGCTTGTGCCACTCAGCTGCTGGAGCTCTTGTTCTGCTTGTGGCTTTTGTTCTTTGGGTACAGGAAACCAGTGCTGTATCCAGAAGGCAGCTCTACTCCTTGTACATTGCTGCATGTTATTATAATGCTGGGTATCTGAGATGCGGATGTTCTATGGCGAGGCTCTCCTTTTCTTAGTCCAATGCCACTCAGGCTCTCACCTCTCTGAAGAATGCAAGGTTTTAAAAGAAATAGAAGACACAAACATCTACAAAGAATATCAGGCAGCATTATCTATGAAAATGTGATGTATTTAGATCAGTGCTTTGCCAGTACCCACTACTACCTTAAAGCCAAACTCAAAAGATAGAGGATGAAGTAGATCTGAATATTTCTGGAATGCTTTATGAGTAATGTGGGGGGAGGAGGGGAAGTTTAAACAAGATAGTGTCTTTCTATCAGTATATTAATTCAGAATCGAGTTTACTTTGAAGGATCAGGCTAATGACAGTAGATTCCTCTGTGGGAAGAAGAAAAAGTACTGAGAATGTACTCAGCGTAAGAGACAAATGATATAAAGAGTTCCTCTATTAAAAAAAAAAAGCCTACATAGTTGACAAAGCAGTTGTTTTGGTTCATTAAGATGAGGTGGTGTGAAACAGATAAAAAGATTGATATTTTGAAGGGGGGACAAATTAGAGAATGGAGACAAACAGAAAAGGATTAATTTGTGCTACAATAGCAGTGCTATCCATCCCTAGCATGGGACCACAAAAGGGAGTGTTAGGATTAGGCTAATAATAGCTTGTAAGGAACACTACTATCAATAAAAATTATATTTGTTACATTTTTGTTATTACTGCAAAGATAAAACTGATTTTTTTTCCACCTATCATCTCTTTTATTTCACTAATTTAGGGCAAGTTGACTCAGTTGAAGAATATGTTTAAAAAAAAAAAACAATAAACATCTGTATGCTATAGCTTTGTTAAATGGAAGTAGAGAGACACTATGCCCACAAAATAATAAGTGATATGACATGTTTCAGAAACTTACCTGACTTTCCTCCACGCTGCATTTTTCAGATGCTTTGCACTACCCAAAACAGAGAACAATAAATAGTCAACAGTGTCACTTTGCACAGATGAACTTGCTACAAGATTGACTGACCCAAAAGGACATTGAATAGCTACTGAATAGCTATTTCCACTTGCTGTATACATTGATTTTTCTTATCTTTATTTGAATAGTGTTTCCACTCACCCCAAAGCAAATCATGGGCAGGCAACCTACTGAATTCAACTTCAGTTCTCTTAAGAAGCAGAGCTCAAGGAGAACCCTGTAGCATGTGTATTCTCCATTAATTTCTGCACAGTTTCAGCAGTGATCTACCCTTGGAGGTCATATTTACTGTATCCTAGTGGGAGTATCATATGGGGTTTTTTTTTTTTGTTTTTTTGTTTTTTTGTTTTTTTTATCTCAGCAAATTACTTAATTTGTGCTCAGGGAGTGGGATTGTCATTAGATTTTGTTGCTTCAACTAAACCCATGCCAAACATTAAAGTAGTTCTTACAGTAGAAGTAGCAGAATGCTCTGTGACATTCATTTCCACCATGGGTATTTCATCTGTGTTTACAATTGTCTGGAAAATGAACACAGGTGAAAAAGACAAATAATGTATAGGTTACCATGTCCCATGTACATGAAATACAAAGAGAGGGAAAAAGAAAGAAAGGGAACAGAGAAGGAATGCAGTAATAAACTAAATGTGACTTTGTACTACAGAACATAAAATAATTTAACAGAGATAGACTAGTTTTCTATCACTTGCCATACAAGCTTATTTGATAACAAATGGTGAGACAGCAGAACGATGAGTCAAGTAATTTGGGCAATATGGGGAAATAAAAATATTACAGATTATACACTTAAAAACAAACACAGGACAACACATCATGCATATGCTATGTTCAATATAACAGCCAGAAATACGACAGCTGAATGATGAATTAGAGCTGTAAATAAAAAGCTGATGACCTTTTACAGCCTCAAGGACATTACTTACAGCACTAATTTACAGGTTATTCCCATCTTCTAGGCCATATTCTTTATGATTAATTATGATAAAATGTTCATTGTTGATCTACCTGTTGCTAAAGAATTGTTACTACACAATCTATTACCTTTCCAAAAATTTCAGAATTGTGGCTTTTCACTTCAGGTTTGCCTCCTAGGCCACTAGTTTGGGTGGTATCTTTGCCCATTTCATAGGAAACCTGGCTGCTAGCAGGTCTGGACGTCATACTGATGATATCAGTTTCTGTATCGGTACAGCCCTAAAATGAATACAGCAAAAGCAATAGCATGGTCTTAGATTTCTGACCGAGTAGTATGATACCTAAACAGAAATTTTAAGAGACAGCCACCTTGTGAAAGTTATTTCAGAAAAGCTATGCCACGTACAACTCCATACAGTGTTTTCCTTTAAAGAAGTCCAAAAAACCTTATCAAATCTCTTCAGATAACTTTGGCTTACGTCTTGTTTTCTTGTTTGTTTATTTTGGTAGGGTTTACTTCAAAATTTCTAACAAAATGATGTTCCGCTGTGTACTACGGAAACTTTTCTAATGCACCTGGCCAGTTTAGAAGCACTTATTTTCATAAAGATTTCCTGATATTATAAAGATTTATGTCAATGAATGTAAAAACAAACAACAACAAAAAAGCGGGGTTGTGCATGAGTCAAGTGTTCTTTTCTGCACTACCTTTTTTTCCTCACTCTGGCCTTTTCACTGAGTTTTGGTTGGACTGAGTACTCAAAAAAACATAGAATCTGAAGAAATTGAAATGGCACTGTTAAGAACAAATGTCTGAATTCAGGGTGTGACTGCATTAGATATGGTGTTTAGTCTGACTATGAAAAAATAATCATTGAGAAGATCATTGCCTTTTCATATATTTGGAGATTGGATTTAAAATGATTTCAAAATTATTAAGTAGCTGTGTAGTAAGGGAGAGCCTGGGACACCAAATATCTGCTTATATCCTGCTGCTGTGCAATGCATTTGGCTTTACCTGGAATGGCAGCAGAATGGTGTTGAGGTCTCATGTGAGAAGGATTTGGAAATGCATTTGTGTTGATTTACTTAAGTCTGATGGTTAATGCTTCCAAACACACCCCACTTCACCTTAAGAAACCACGGTTTCCTTAAAATTTTGGTTTCACTAAATAATTTTTTAGTGACTAATGGATTGGTTGTACTGACGGACTATTGGCTCAATGTTAGCCAGCAGTGTGGCCAAGAAGGCCAATGGCATCCTGGCTTGTATCAAAAATGGTGTGGTGAGTAGGACTAGAAAAGTAATCCTGCCCCTGTGGTTGGCATTGGTGAGGCATCACCTTGAGTACTATGTTCAGTTTTGGGCACCTCAGTACAGAAGGGTCATTAAGGGCAACAAAGCTCATGAAGGGCATGGAGAATATGCCCTATGAGGAGAGTCTGAAGGAACTGGGGCTGTTTCGAGACTTTATTGCTCTCTGCCAGTATCTGAAGGGTGCTTACCTGTGCTTACAGTGAGAACGAGGTTTGTCTCTTCTCACTTGCAACACACAGGACAAGGGGAAATGGCCTCAAGTTGTGCCAGGTAAGTTTAGGTTGGATATCAGGAACAACTTATTTACAGAAAGGGATGTTAAGCACTGGAATAGACTCCCCAGGGAGGTGGTTGAGTCACCATCCCTGAATGTGTTTAAAAACCGTTTGAATGTGATGCTCAGGGATGTGGTTTAGTTGTGGGTTGTTAATAGTATGTTTATGTAGTATGATTAGGTTGCAGTTAGACTTGATGATCTTTAAGGTCTTTTCCAACCAAGCAATTCTATGATTTTGATTCTATGATTGTTTTCTATGTTCAGACTCAAAATCTGTGGTCAGACAAGTTCAGTCATAGAAGAATGGTGAGGCTTTCTAGGATGCTCTGACTCCAAGTTTCTCTTGCCTTCTGAAATGCCTGTTGTCCAATGTCTTCATGCTTCCTTCAGTGTAAAAAATGGACAAGAATATAATATGCTACAGTTTGTTCTTACATGTTGGCCTTCTTTTGCTTTACTTCTTCCCTTTTTCTGAAGTTCTTATCATAATAAGCATAAAGTGTTTAATGTAAAGCAATTATCACTTTGGAGGACTCTATGAAAGTCAATTACTCTGCAGTTAAAAATGTGTATGAGAAGTGTCTTTCTTACCGATTCACTGTCAGAGATGGAAGATAGTCGTCTTTTTCCTTTCTGCAGCCCACCTGAGCCAGTCTCAGAAGACTGGCTGCTTATGGTGGTTCGTCTGGAGGAGCGAGAAGTGCTGAAGGATCGGGACTCTTTAGGAGAAACTCTCAGTAGGGATCCAAGGCAGGGAACATATGTTGCAATGGCTGTCCTAATGGAAAGGAGGTAGAACAAGTCAGATTTTTTTAATGTTAGCATAAAAATTCAGGCATCATATGCAGTGATTTATTCAGAGAGATAGACTAATGCTGCATGGACTGGAAAATTACTGGTACAATAAAGGGTTTTCCAGATATTAGTGTCTTGTAAACAATTGCCCTTCAATATCACTTATTAATAGTGGTCCATAGAATTTTAATGCTTTACTTGGCAGGGGTGAGGGCATTAAAGAATAACTCTTTGAACTGAAGGGACCTGTTAAAATATTTTATCTGCTTTCAGCTTAATCAGGTCAAAAATAAAATTCTGTTCTTTCAACTGAACCTTGCAGAAGTACCACATAATAAATTGTTTTAATCTGCCCCTAAGCAGCTATTCTGGCCTCCTTTAGCACATCTGTCTGCCTGCTATCTGTAGGGTAGTACAAAGGCAGCTATATTACAGAATTCTTTTTCTCATATGCAGCATAAGGAAACTCTTTTGCACAGCTTTTCTCTCCCTCCCAGTCATCCCACTTAGAAGTCCATGCCCACACTTCTCTGTCAAATTATCTTGTAGGTCTGTGTAAAGAATGGAACAGCATATGTGTGGCTTTGCTACCATCCATCAGATTCCATGGCCTGCATCTGAACTTGGTATGGTCATGTGTAGATGTTACAGCTCAGAAGAAATACTCTTCTTCATGCTTCCTTATTTCACGTAGTAAGGAAGATGCACAAAATAGGGAAGGAGTAACTTGACTTACTGGATTGCATTCCTCAGTGGCCTGGTTAATTTAACAAACTGCTATTTCTAATGCTGACAGATGTCTGGATCTCTCTTGAAGACAGTTAAATTTACAATGATTTCCTCTGAGCTAGGAAGGTCTCTATCTTCTATCATGTGATCTGTAAGTACAGATCAGCATTTCATAAACATCTCTAGCTCCCATCTGCACAGTAAACTGTTCCAAGTACAAATTCTACTGACATTTTTATGGCACTGAGAAGTTTGCTTGGAGAGGAGGAGGTTGTCTTGCAAAGGTAAAATGAACAGGTGAATGAGAGTTTGGTTACTAGTCCCTTAAGTGATAAAGCTACTGCCTGATATTCTCTGCTACATTAAATTTATTTTACAAGAATGAACTTACCTATATTTAGGGTGAGTGATGGCATAAATAATGGGGTTATGGATGGCAGAAGCTTTGGCAATCACAGCTGGTATGGAATTCATGAAGGGTGTTAGAACATGAGAATACCTAGAGTAATGCAAATACATAATCCATTTAGTGTATATACAGTACATGTTTAGTACTGAGTTCTCAAAAGTCTCAGCATTTATAAGCTGACAGCACAGTGTGTTGTTATTGCTCCACAGAATGTAACAAGGGGATGTTCTCTACTCAGACAATGAGAGAGAAAAGTTTTACATCCTTTTCCTGCAAAGATGCACACTACCCTAATTGGGGAAACACAATTTTTTGTGATGCTTCTCTTGCAGTACTGCTATGATTCAGTGGTAATAACCCCTGTGCTATTTACCCTAGAGACAAAGTCTCCCTGCAGTAAATGAATGCGTGTTCAGAGTTTAAACAGAGTATCTGTTTAAAACTCAGCAGATGTACTTGCTAAATAACCCATCACTAAATATGTCACTAAATGAGTGTGCAGAGTGAGGCATTACAGGAAAGATATGTGATCAGTTCTGCTTTTCAAATTTTTTGCCTGATCTGAACTAAAATCAGGAGGGAATGGGTCTTCTGATGACATACACTTCACTTGTGTTATTGTGGCCACGCATATATGCAGGTTTTGTGCCCTTAAAGGATACAGAAATGATGACTGATGTCTATCTGCCATGTTCCTTTCAGCTATTTAATCTGAAGATACTTTGAAGGAGCCCATAGAGTCTTGTCAGAAGAAGGTCAGGAGAGCTACTCAAACCAAAATAACACATTCTGTAGGCAGTTTCTATCAGGCAGGTTCTCCATGGGTCTGATTAGGAGCTAAGAAGAACTCGGATTGGTGGAAAGGGTTAAGTAAAATGACTCATTAATCTAAGTTAGCATCCTTTCTTTATGACACCTTGATTTTCTGAGACAGCAGTTTAACCTCCATCTTTTACTGACCTATTTAGCATTGTGCTCCTTCTTGTACTCCTAATATACTCAGGGAATTTCTTTTTTTTTTTTTTTTAAAAAAAAAAGCTGAATGAAGCTGTATTGTTTACTTGCTGTCTTTGTGAGAAAAATTTGCAAATGCTCACTTGACAGGTGCTGTACAGTTATAAAACTGTCCATTTGTTTTGATTTTAGTCAACAGGAAACATAGGCTAGAAGTCAAGTTCAGCAGGCACTTGATCATGCTGAAGTAGATACTGAATCATACAGAACAACCTGGCAGTTCTGTGCAGCTAGAATGCTTAGCTTAAAGCATTTTCTATTGTTTTCAGTTCACTTGGAGCAAGCAGTGATGTAGGGCAGCTATGATTCATTTTTTATCTTCACACTTTTCTTCTATCTCTAGTGGTCTCATATCACCAGTGGTAAATGCCCAATACCTAAGTTCCCTGTGACAGGACATGGGACTCTGGAGTTGGACGTATTCTAAGGATTTGAGTTTCTCAGTGAGGAGCCTTTGTGGAGAAAAAGTTTGCTGCTGCTTGGAATTGGCTCTGTGGGTGCCATAGGAGAACGTTCTCTTAGCAAATTTTCATCTTAAGCAAAATATTTTTAGAAGTGCAGTGTTTAGGAAGCCATGTTTGCCTCTTCCTTATGTGTGTTACAATGAGTACTCCTGCCTCCCAAAATGTACTGCTTTCTGCTTGAGTCTTCTAGTTGAGATTTCAGATTCTTTGAAAAATTCAGATTCTTTTGCAAAGAATTTCAGATTCTTTGCAGTTTACAAGGCTTTGGGCATGGTCATATCCACTTTAGAAAGCCTTAACTGAAGCACTGGAAAATGAAGAAGCCTGTTCAGTGTCAGCTTTTATCATAATAGACATATCTACATATAGCCAAGACATCCAGGCTTAGAGTTTTTGACTTGTACCTGGGTTGCACCAACGGTATTCTGGTCAATATCTGATAGTCAAGCTTTATATAGATTCTATATTAATGGTATCATATTTTTGTGGAAACTATTGTATGAAACACTGGTAATTAGATAAACGAAGGACATGCTGTTATGATTTGTTTACTTCTATGTCTAACACTGACAAACTTCCCTAAGCAAGTATATACTTGTGTAATTTTGAGCTTGTTTTCCTTACATGTATGTAAGGAATTTCATCAGTTTGATGTAAGACAAGCAAATAAATAGACTTGCAAGTAAAAGAAGTGGAAAAAAAATCTCCCCTGGGTGGTTCTTTTTGGCTCCCTTAGCACTTTGGTGCTAAATAAAATTTGGATGGATCAAATATGCTGTCACAGAGCATGCATTCAGGAATCATCAGCATTGTTTCTTATGTTGAAAGGAATAAACTTCCTACTACTGGTTTTTTTTCCCTTGAAAAGTGAAACTTAAGAAAAAATCACAGCATGTGCCTTATTTGTTAAATGTCACTCCAGAATAGGTTAATGTTTGGAATGCACTTCAGGCATTAGAGTTGACAAGTAGCTTTGGCTTTCATCTGTCTTTCCCAATTGCACACCCTCATTTGCTGATACATTCATAATTACCCAGCAAAAGCTACCAGAGCAACGACAGAGTATGGTGACCAGGAAATGACATAAAGCAAGATGACGATCAGTGCAATCTTAGCCAACTTCCACTCATTCTTCATCCGATGATACTGTTTCTGGAGATCTTTGTTTCCATGTTTGCATCCAAATGTCTGTATAGACCTAGGGGAAGTAAATGTGTAACAGCAAAATTGAGATAGGGAATTGCAGCAATTACTCTTATGCTAGTTTATGTGATAACTCATGTACTTTTAATGTGTGTCACTATGTGACCAGTCCCTTGCAATTTGGTGTATTTCAGCTGCGCTAATCAAGGACAAAATGTAGGGGGGAAAAAATAGTCCCATGCTAGAAGAGTTTCCACATAAATCAGGTATTCCATTTAATTGGACAAATACAAAATATAACTAGAGAAGTCTTTGTTTCTCTATATCTGATTGTTGTACTTTACTGTCGGTCTGCATTTTCTACTGTGCTGATAGTTACAAGACAGATATCTAAGAATAGTGGCAAACACTGGCCTGTATGATAGTTTTTGTTTAGAGATGTGTGATTATTTTTATTTTCTTTTTACTCATTGTGAAACACAGTGTTTGCAGTTGATTTCATTTTTTTTTCCCATGGAATAGCTTTTATTTACTGTTATTGGACATATTAAATGGACAAATGATATCCATTTAGTATTGCTTTTCACAATTGGTTAATTTCTATAGTCCTTTCACATCCTTCAGATTTCTCAGGTTGCTACTTGTACCATTTTCTGTATCATTAGCAAGTATACTGAACAGCTCTGGCATAAATTCAGAGCCCTGAATGGCTCTTCTAAGGATCATAATTCTTACATGTTGACAGAATTCTTACTTGGTTTCTTGTCACAGTTATATACTTGAACTGAAAAACTTTCCAATTTTCTTTTGTCAGTCTGTTTTAAGAAAAGGAAAAAAAAAAAGTCGTTTAAACAAAGAAATAAAAACTTAAGACTTCTAATTACTTACTTGTTGGCCTTCTTGATAGCCTCAAATATAAAGAAATAGCTGTATATGATAGCAATCAAAGGAATGAAGAAGACAAAGCAGAAAAGCAGCATTGTGTAGGCACGGACTGATGGTGTGAAAGTCATGTAATCCCAGGAACAGGAAGTCAGCAGGCCTTCAGGAACATAGGCACCTAGAAACAGGAGAAGATATCAACCACAATGTGATTCTTACCAGTATCTGAATGCAGGAGTTAGGGAAAGATACTCAGAGTAACATGAGATGAGATCTGAAAACTGAATCATTTTGTTCCAATCCTTGAATATAACTTTAAGCTCAACATAGGCAAAGTGCATCTCTCCAAATACTTCAGTGGGTTTTTCATCAGACCCACACTGTTTTCATTTAAGTCCAGATTCGCTCAAATTGCTTCTTCCCATGCAGTGAAATGAAACTGATTGCTTTAACGGCTTCTTTTTAGAATTACTACTTATTAATCTATTCTGCAAAGGGGAGAGCTATGTTGTGTAGGTCAAATTAATTTTGTCACGAAAGAAAGTTGAGTACTTGTAGAAATAAAATATAATTTCCTTAGAGAAACTGTGTCAAACAACTAAAGACATTCTTAATGGCAACGTATTTCTCCTTTTATTTCAATTTTCACTGTTCACAGTGATATTTTCTGCTGAACTTTTAAAAATAGCATATCAGATGTTCTGAGATGCATCCACTTTTTATATGAAGGTTAGTAGTGTTGATACTATTGGAATCTAATTATAAGATAATGACTTAACACATTTCAAGTTAGTATTCTGCCTTCTCCCATCAAAATTCCAGAATCTAAGACATTATTGTCACTTTGTTCTTCTAACCCTGCCTCATTCAACTTAAGGCTGCTTTCCCAAGCACTGAGGATTGGCTAGTTAAACATGCCTCATACTGAAGGCAGACCCGACAGGCAGTAGCAAGTCAAAAACAAACATCTTCTAAAATTCAACTTTGTAATTTTTTTTTATTATTTTATTTTATTTTTTCAGCATTCTTTGGGGAAAACAAAACATTGCTAAATTCTCTCCTCAGCTGAGCTGACACATTCTGTTCTGGAATTAGGGAACAAAATAATGGGCTGGAGTTTTGAATGATGAGCTCATTCTAACTTACTGACTGAAACTTGGTGACTCATAGGAAACAAATTAATGTTACTGAGTTGGTTGCAAATGAGGAATAATAACAGGAGCTCTCTTTGCTACAAGTGGCAATGATCAAATGTGTGTTCCAATTTGCAAACAAAAAATTTACAAAAGCAAATTGTATCATTGTTATTAAATGCCACTCCTAGCAGAATCCCCAGTGAAGATACTAAAGTCTGAATAGACAATGCAGCTGATATCCAGTGCCATTTGCACATCTGGAATACAATCAAGACCTACTGAAGATGTACTTCAACAAAATATTCACGGAATAGTCTAAGGAATAGACTGTATTCCTCTATTACATGAATGAAGACATTTAAATTGCCACCACTCATACACAGCACCTTTGGGGAAGAAAAAAATATCATCAGAAAAAAAAAACCTTATTTATTTCACTTTTATATTGTTCAGTTTGGCTCAACAGAAGTAGATATGGGAAAATAGGCAAGTTCATCATTTCATAAATTTTGGCCTTTATTTTATCTTCTATTCTTTGTACAATAAGTAGTAAGTTCAAGGAAAAATGCCTGTGTGATGTAAGTTGCTCTTATTCAAATTGTACTTTTTCTTCAGATTGAGGTCTTCAGTTTCAGTATGTATTTTATCAATTTTCCTAAGACAGGTTTTTGAGGCTTAATATGCAAGCCATTCATTTACCCATCTCTTATAAATGTGACAGTCCAGTTTTTAGTCCAATGTTATAAGGGAAAAAAATTTGTATTCCATTTCACTTACTCCATCCAAAGAAGGGTGGGAGGCTCCAAGCCAAAGAGTACAGCCAGACGCCTACCAGGATTATAAGGGCCTTCTTCTTAGACATCACTCGAACAGAAGCCAGAGGTTTTGTGATGACAAAGTATCTGTCCAAGGCAATCACCATCAAAGTGATCATAGATGTAATGCCAAAAAGAGCTCCGCAGAAGGCATACAGCTCACAGCCTTTCAATGAAGATGACAGAAGTAGCAGTGAAATTAATCTACTCGTGCTAATTAACTTATAGGAGACTCAACTCTTTGTTTCCTGTAAACTAATGTCTTCTGGGATTCATAAACCGATGGAATTTCAGTTTTCCAGTATTGTAATGTAATACTGTTTCAAAGCTACTGTTTATCTTGCTAATTATATTTTCACTCACTGATTTATGATGTTCCTAGTAGAAATTTTTTAACAGTCCCATGATATCTTGCTTAACTCCAGTTTTACTGAAGTTCCCTTAAAAACATCTATTTTGTTCAAGGATGCCTTCTAGCTACTTTGATGTCATGGTATCATTTGTATCTCAAGGTCAGCATAATTGTAGTAGCTATTCAGACTATGAATATATTCATAAGTAATTTTAACAAGTCAAGCATCATCATGATTAAAAGCTGAGGGTTGTGTTTTTTATTTCTTAACGTGTGCAATTGAGCAATTTATTGAAGCAGGAAAAACAGCCATTCTTTTGGTGATCAGGGATCAAAACAGCCATGTTATTTCTCTGATATCCCTCTCTGTCCATACCTATTCAAGAAGCAAAGACTAGTCATCTTCTTACTATAGTTATAAAAGAATGAAAGCAATTCCCTTCTACAAGATTTTTTTATACGTTATTGATTGCTGACTCCTTAGGAGTGAGTTTTCTCCTTAGATTTGCACACCTCTTAGGCCAAAGGTGAAAATCCCGCTGTTGAAGCCTGCAGCAGATGTGCTGTTGGCTTCAGTCACATGTTTCACCTGCAGTTTGAGAATCTTTTGAAGAAATACTGCCTTCTACCTGCTAGAACAGAGGTTTTGTTTTAGGTTCCTTCCTTGGATATTGACTATTTAGATTGTAAAATGATTTGGACAGAAATTGGGGTTCATTTTATCCTAAGTATTTCTGCAATTTTATAGCACATTGAAGTTAATTACTCTTGTAGTTGCAATGACCAGATGTCTTCTGCAAATCATGTTAACACGAACTCCCACAAGAACATTTGCTTACTGCGCAGGCATGTTCGGTTAATATTTCTGTTGAGAAAACTCACTGTTGCCAAACTTTCTGGTTGCTAGTCTCTGAGCAGATTATCTAGAGCTGCTATTAAGTTGGTGATTTGCTAGTTGGTGGTTCCTTGTCACAGGGCTCTACCAGTAGTTACCTTACAAGATGATTGGGAAATAACACTGGCAAGGAGACTGGTCCTCTGTATTAGATTGCCGGAGTCTCCTTTGTATCTTGTGTGTGTAATTTTCTTCTTCGTGTTGGGAATGTAATTGTTGGATAGGGACAAAAATGTTCAGGGAAACTTTGGTTTTAATGTTGAAGCAATGTTGAAAATTGCAAGTGTACCTGAGGATTAGGAAATGGGTAGTTAACTGCCACTACAGTAGGACAATACTTAGTGATTTATTGGAAAGTAGATATACAAACCTTTCTCACCAAAAATCCATCGTTTATGGAGACTGTTGGTGAAAAATACTGGAGACTGTGTGATGGACATAAGGAAGTCACTAACAGCTAGATTAATGATGAATATATTGGCTGGTTTCTGAAGGGTCCTACTCCTACAAAGAAAAGATAGAAGGAATGTTTCTTAGACAATGCGGTGCTCTTAATTATGTCATTACTCTTTTCTGTGAGCTTTGGCAACTTCGCAAACACCATGGCACTCTACAGAACAAGTTAGGACAGTATGCTTCTCATTTCTGTCCCAAGAGAACATAAGGTTGTTTTACATCCTTATCCTGCTGTGCATTTTAGAGGACTGTTTTGATAACCAGCTCAGTGGTGGGGATAAATCACATTGTTCCTTAAGTACTCTGACCCAGTGCACTGCATGTCCGTGATTAACAGGAAATTAAAGCTGATGTGTTCCATGGATTTGCTGGATCTGGGTCGTGTTAAGCTGGAGGAGGGATAGTGCATATCTCCATGCTGGTGATCTTATCAGCAATGACTTACAAATACAGGGATTAAGCAAACTTGCTGTGTACCGCATCAAGCATTTTGTTTCACATCAGTTCTTCCCTGTGACATTCATTTCATTTGTACATACACTGACTTTGAAGAGAATGGTAGCCAGCCTTCAGTGTATTCTGCCTACATAGGTTATTCATAACATCATAGTACAATACTTTAAAGGTACACAGAGAAGCTGAATTGAGAGCTCCTTTGTTCATGGCTTAGTGTAAGTTTTTAGCTCCTTTCTCAAAACTTTGGTCTTAGGCAAAAATATAAAGAATCTGAATAAATGATCAGTTCTTTGTACTGATCCAGAATCAGTGAGTAAATATACCGTCCCCTGAATGTCAATTTGGGGGCAACAAGATATTTTTAGTAGATACTTAGGGGTACTTGTTTTTGTCCAGTAATCTGCTAAGTTGCTGAACAAATCTCTATTTCAGATACCTGGCTGTCTTAGACTTTTGTGACTTTTTGAGACTGTTTTGTAGGCATCTGACGTGTAGTCTGAACTTCTGATGCACTTATTATTTTTCTTTCAATGTCCCTTTTTATCTTCATAACATCTTCAATAAAGACAGGCTGTCTCTCTCACTAGAAATGCAACTGGCTGGATTTGCTGTATGGCTGGATTTGCTGTATGGGACCAGCCAAAGTGCTAAGCTAGGTCACTTACTTCACTCTTGTCTCATGTATCTGGTCTGCACGCCAACACCTGATCTGTTCTTAAGGCCGTGTCATTCACACTGAAATGTTGGTATCTGCTCTGAACGCACACACTGTATGTAGCAGAAAATGTGAGATCACCTTTTTAACCTTCTAGATAAATGCACTAGATTAATACAAGCTCAAGAGCCTCATTAGTTAGGTTCTCACTCCTGTGATTCAAGTTAACCCAGTCTAATTGTCATATAGTTTTTATTTTTTATGTTTATTACAGTAATGCTTAATGATCAATCATGAAGGAGAGGCTCACTGGTCTAGATGTCATGGCAATGCTCTGTCAGTGTTCAGTGAACAGAAAGAAACAGTGTGAATAAAAAAAAAAAAAGGTGAAAAAAATCACATTGTTATCATTGATCAGATTACTTTCAGATATAAAAGTTGGGATGTGGTTTTAGTTAGGAAATAAGCCATGCATTTAGAGTGATAGCATGTCTGCACTGCATACAGAGTACAGTCATGTTGATGTTAAAGTTCATCCCAGTATTTAGAAAAATATACAAAACAAGATACCTGCAGAAAGCATAGATGACCAGGAAATTACCCAGAGTTCCTGTGATCCCCACGATAAGAATGACTGTTCCAATTGTATAGTGGGCATGGTCTGGGACATCCACTGTAGGAAAAGCACTACGAACGTCTTTCACTGTCATCTTCTACAAAGCAAACAAAAGTCATAGGTAGATTGTCAGACTTTGGTGAGTAAGTTGGCATGTGCTACCCTAGTAGAAGAGTTGATCAAGAGTGTGAAATGCCAGCAATCAAAAAGAATCAGAATAAGCTAATTACTTTCAAGTTACGTTTACAGTTGATCATCTTCGGGAGCCACATATACACCATCAGAAGCACACAGGTCAAACAGTACTCTATGCTTTTCCTGTGGATTGAGAATTTTAATGAAGAAAAGCAGTTTATTCCCTCCCAAAAGAAAATGAAAGATATAGAAGAGAACTAGAGATATGAAGGGACCTTTTTTATTTCATCTGACATCAATAATGCAGTACCTAACAAGAATATTTTCTGCGGTTTTCGTGTCATTAAAGTTTCTGTACTCGTGAAGTGTGATCTCTGTTCTAACAACAGTATCTTCTCTAAATAGAATTGATGGATAACTGTCTATTGATAAATGTGCATTTAATCCTTTATGGGATTAAAGGTATATGGGTAAAATGTTGATTATTCAGTGAGAGAAATGAAATAACCACATTGCTAGTTGCCCTCAAGGCTTAGTTACTAAAAGCCTGTCAGTTGGTAAAAGACTGAGCAGCTGTCTGGTGGAAACTACATTAATGATTGGAAAACTTTAAACAGCAAAATTTTCAAGTTTGCACCTTTTTTACATATCAGTTTTATTTTCTCTCTGGACTGAGTGAAGGTATTTTGCTTTTTGTGATAATTGTGGTTTAAGCACTTGAAAGCTTATCTACTAATAACTTGTGGCAAAATTCACTAGGTAAGTCTGGAGACTTCGGCACTTCAAATAATAGTTTAGAATGTTTTCTTAGTAAGTTTCAGGAGCTACAAACACTTTTTAGACCAAATGACCCCATCTTAGTAATGAGGCGAACAAGAAGTCTGCAGCCAGGAAGCAGGACGACCTAACAAAAATGGTAAAGGACGTGCAAACTGTCACTGTTCTGCTGCCTTTTCTTGTGAAGTCAGGCAAGGAGATTTAAACACACACCTCTGTGCGTGCTGCCCTTGTCCTTAACATGCTTTGGCACCAGCTCCAATCAGTGAATGTAGCTGTGACAAACACAAAGCCCCATCCTCATTCTTCTGCACAGACAGATCCTGTCTCTTCTTCATTGCCAGGTTTTTCTCATCATAGGTGGCACTCACGCTGGAATGACATGCCATGGCCACCACACCTAATTCAAATCTGTCAGCTGCAGCCATGGCATTCCTCAGCTAATGAGCTACAGGAATCATGCCGTGTCAATAAAGCCCAGCAGATATCTTGAATAGCTTATATTTTTCCTACTGTGAGTATCATCAGTCTGGCTGTGGCTGAGGATCCAGGGAAAGGCACCAAAGTCTGTGTCTGTACTGAGCATAAATGAGGCTGGATGTACTGTTGCCCAGAACAAGTACTGGGAGGTGGTGTTACAGCTAACACATTCAGTTATTCCTTCCCAGGAAGAGGAAGGTTACTGGTAGGAAAGTGGAAAGCAGTGGATATATGTATGAAATTCTTACTTTATGCTCCCATTGTGTCAACTGCTGGCATTCACTGCTAGAATGAACTCAGGAATGCCTTCAACAACACTCCTGTTATTAAAGGACCCTGGTGTTTCCAGACAATAAAGGCAGACATTACTTATAAATAGATCTCTGAGATTGGATTGAAATTATAAGAGACAGTTTGCATTTAAAACCAATGTGCCGGTAGCAAAAGCTAAACCCCAGGAGAGTCTGAAATTGTACAAAAGATTGTCTTTGACTGTGAGCTGGAGATCTGCCCATGGCAATCCTCAATAAGAGGAATGCGCTCCCTGAGTTTCTTTATTAGCAGGGATGAAATGCTGGACAAATAGTAGAGACTGAAAATGTAGCTCTGGCTGTTACTGTAATTGGAGCAAAATGTTATGATTGTATTAAAGCTGATGTAATAACTGAGAGACAGAATCATGATGTTTTTTTGTTCAGGTTCCTTCAGCAAGTTGGCCTCACATAAAAATCAGTGGGCATCTTGCCCGTGTAGATAGATATTGGTTTATTTAACACACTGTCAGTAAGGTAACACAAAATCCCACACTAATAGCAAGTGGAGTGGGATAGTCTGAGATAAAACTCTTTTAATTAAATTAGACCAGGTGTTCTTTGGTTTAGGTTTATTTATTTTTTATTTCTGTAGCTTTATGGATGCTGCTCCGCAGAGAATCACGATCACTAATGTAATGGAGATTTCTGATATTTTCTTCTATAGCTATCCATTTAATCAAGGTAACAGAAATGAAGCAACTAAAGGAGCTTGTTTTGGCTACAGAAAGCAGATTTGAAATGGCTGTAATTTAAATTAAATTTGTGGGAGACAAAGGACAAGAAACAATTTGAAGGATAGATTTGGATGTAGAAAAAAAAATAGTGGAAAAGGTTGTTTATGGGACAGTAGAAGACATCAAAACTACTTATTGGGGAATGAAACAGGTGCAGAGTCAATAAAAATGTCAAATGTGAAAAAAAAAATGTGTAATATTTGTAATTGAGCATTGGTAGGACATAATACCAAGTAGAGGGAGAAAGAAAGGGATTGGCAAAGAGGAGTAAATTCACATTTTAGTGTGGACTTCCTGGAGATGGCTTATTTTCACCACAGAGTCCAGTTCTTGCTGTTCGCTAAGAAAAAACTCCATTATTTAAAGAAAAAAAAAAAAAAGTAACTCTTTTTATTAGAAAGACAGGTCTGATTCAAAGCTTCTTGAAGACAAAGAAAGGTGCTAGCTGACCCAAAGGCATTAGATCAGACCTAAGCACTTCAAATTCATCACTGAGTTGCATACGTTACCTTCCTTACTAGAAGATGAAAACACTTGCCTGTCTCAATCATCTCTAGGTGTTATAAGGGGAAAAAGGTAATGCTTGAGGAAATCAGGACAGCAGCCTAATCAAGAAATCAGACAATTCTCAAAGCTTTTCTCTGTTTAGCCTTGTTTAGTCTGTCTTCTGTTGTCACCCTATGGTATTAGTACTTGGGTGGCATAAGAGAACTAAAATCACACCTTTGCAATCCCTGCCATAGCAATTGTCCTTTGAGAATGCTCCATCTGAACAACTATTTCAATTGCATTGATATCCCAGAACATGATTATCTTGCCTGTTTTTCTGTTCAGCCTGCTTTCTGTATGCACTTACGTAGTGAAAATGCTAAGTCACAACCTGAAACAGTGATTGAGCACCTGGTGAGAAGACAGGGCCAACCCAGGGGAGCTCAGCTGCATCCAATACACCTGAGTGACCAGAAGAGATAAAGCCAGGATCCATTCCTTCCCAGACCTCATTTAAGTGTTGGCAGTGGAGGTGAGGGTGTCGCTATGGAGATTCCTGTCTGCCTGTGGCCTTCTGAAGGTAAGCAGCTTTTCTTCCTTTATTTCTGTATCTATGGCTGCTGCATTTGCATTTGTTCTTATTTGCTGTAGCCTAGGATTGTGCTGCTCTGCTATTATTGATGAACTTTCCATCACATTTTAGCATTTCAGCATTACAACACTGTAATGAAGATTAAAATAAATGAGCAGGCAGAACCAGTACTACATTATTTCTCTTCTAAGTGATACGAAAACACAGCTTGTTTTGTGTAACGTGGTTCAAAACAGTACCAGATGAACGAAGAAGTAGAACTGGGAAGAAGTTGGATGTTTTACTGTAGTCAGTTAATACACTACATCTTTCTTGAGTCAACTAATAGGGATACTTGTATCTGAGGCTCTGGACCACTGGGTGCCAGTATACCCACAGGCATACTACGTTGTGGGTGGCTTAAATTGGTATTAATTCTGTAGAAAACAATTTACTGAGAAGCACCAGTTTCCTGGCAGTCCGCTTAAATATTGCACACTTCTTAAGTGAGCAAAAAAAAATGGTAGCTTGAGAAACTGTGGAAGATGTTAGAGGAGTAACTGAAATGTTACACAATATCTTCACAGTAAGTAGGGTCAGTTTGAGAACATATCTTAATGCCAAGGGTGGCATTTTAAGTCTCCCTTAAAAGCAGGTTTTATAATTTGTTTAGCTATGATGAAGCCTGGCCTTTTGAAAGAGCTGTAAAATAATTAATCTCTGATAGGCAAGCCATTTATTATTTATTTGCACTATAGTTTTGAAGAATCAAACCATCTGTGTGAGAACATTGTCCAAATGTATCTTGGGCTCCATCAATCTTGGTGCCATGACTGCTGCCCTGGGAAGTCTGAGTGCATAATGAACAGCGATATGAGAATTCCCTTCCCACTCTTAGCAGTTGGTTTGTATCCTAAAACAGAGTTGTTATCCCTTTGAAAAGATAATCTTAATGGAGGATATTTTTATCCCTCATATATAGGTGTAATCCTTTCCTAAATCCGACTCTGCCATTTGCCTTAAGAGTCAGTGGCAGCAAGTTATGAAGGTTGCTGCACATCAGTATATTTTCTTCCATCGTGTTTAAGTGTGTCCTTGTGGAGGCAGTAGAAGAAGGGGGAAACAACTACGTTTAATGCAGTCTTCCTTCTTGAAATGTTTTATGCTCTCCCTGAAAGAAAGCTTGTATATCACCTATAACAAAATGGCTATTGCAGAACTGGCCATACTGTCAGCTATCATTCAGTAAACTTCAGCCTTAATGTATGGCAGTTTGTGTAGTGTGTCAGAACCATACAAGATGCTGGTCTAAAGAGAGTTGTAAGGAAATAAGAAATTTTGCTTTCCAGGGTGAAACCACTGACTTTTTAAGTGTTTTGCCCCTGTTAAAAGGAAGTCCAGACCAAAAATATTTGATGCCTTCATTTGCTTTATCTTGGAAATGTGTTTATTATACATATTTTCCTAAAGAGAAGGTTTTCTAAGTAGCTATTTCAAAGTTGTTAAACAAACAAAACAATACCAGCTCACTTTTGAGTAAGTTTCACTTAAAGATGTACAGTTTTTAAAAGTCCTAGTGTTCTCCCTGCTTCCACGACTTGAGGAAAACATTTTTGTGTAAGTGGAAAAAAATGAGTGGAATTTGTGTAAGTGGAAAAAATTGCACAGAATACACTGTACTACTGAGGGAAAGAAAGAAAGAAAAAAAAAGCACACCCGTAGTTCTTCAGAGTAAGAACTACGCTCTTCACTCTTCTGAGACACCTTGATAACTGAAGTTCTAGTAAAGCTAAGAGTGATGATAGTAGGAGCAAGGCCACAGGTGTAAGTATTTATATAAATATCGTATTTGATGTAACCCACTCCTCACTTTCTTCCAAAGGCAAGATTGTGAAGTAATGTTTAGTTTGCAGGGAAATGAGAAATCCTCATAGGAGGATTTTGGGATTTGAACATATCTCAATCTTGGTTCTAAATGATTAGTTGACTTCTTTGCTTGTTTGTTTCAAAAACTGGGAACAGAAAAGATTTAGATAAGGGCATTTTCCAGCTACTCTTGCCTGGATGCCAGATGGATTATATCTAATTCAGTGTAAAACAGGGAAGAAGAAATAGGGACTGCTATGTTGTTCTTAGGGATTCATCTAGCTTCCCACTGTAGTCACTGGTTTTGCAGAATGGCTGCTTTAATGGAACAGAGCCCCATTCTGAAACAGAAGTTTTGGCAGTCTCATGTTGACTTTGGTAATGTATCAGGTTTCTTTGTTCTTTATTTTCCTACTAGAGTATAAGTGATGAAGTTGTTTATTTATACATTACCACTGATTGTATAAACCATAATGTTAAGCCTTTTGCAGTACAACAAATTATACAGATAGAGAAAATTATCAGAACAGAAATACACTAATTTCCTAGAGTTTCTAGGTGCAGTTTTTGTTCTACCTACCGGAAGCTTCAAATAACTGATAGCACTTATTTTCTTCACAGTTTCTTGCTCTAATTCCTGAGCTTGCTTCTAGTTGCACCTTCTTCGGTGATGACAGACAGAACAAAGAGAAGTGTAAGCAATCCTACTTCAATTATGGGTTCAGCAGGATGACGCCAAATGCTAAGCCCTCTTTCCAGTAGGCAGCAGGGCTTTCCATGTTTGTCCTTCAGAGCAATTTGAATAGCAGATTTTGCATCCGGTCTTCCAGATTTAATCTCAACCACAGGCAGCACATATTGCTTTCAGTTCTGAAGCTCCCTTAAGCCAATCTTTGTGTGAAATTAAAATGCAGAAGTTTGAAAATACTTGACTTAAGGGGAGGGAATAGACAGCTGATTTCCTCTTCCAGCAGAATAAGGACAAAATTCATTTTGAATTTTTGAGTGTGAATCACTCTGTCCCCAGAATCCTTTTCCATTTTGCCATGTGCTCTCCAGTCCCAGTTATCCCTCCCTGCTTTGTTCTGCTATCCTCTTTCATTATGTTATCCATCTAATTCAGTTTCTAAGCGCCTTGGCTCAGGATGCTTCTTTGTTCATTTTCCTGTATTATACAATGCATATCCAGCTTTTATTAAAAATAAACACTCTGCATTTTTACTGTGCAAATAATAAAATATTTACTGCTGCTTCAGTATAAATAAGGGTCAAGCTGCAACATCAAGTCCAACATGCTCTGTGTATTAAAAACTGGCTTATGTGAGTCATGCCAAAATACCTGGTGTGACAGCATCAATATTTTACATAGAAATTCAGATTTCAAAAACTTCAGAAATTGCTTGGATATCTTTTTCTTTTTAACAGACTTCTGTACAAACAGAATGCAACCCAACAGTATACTGAGTTACACAGCCAAGAAGAGGTTTCTGAACTCCTCCTGTTCGGGCTTGTGATACAGAATATTTTTAGAAAGCCCCAAGAAGTTCTGTCATGAGGAGTCATTATAACAGAACTCCACCTTCACACTTTTAAGGAGAGCTCTTTGGTAGAACTTACCTGGAGAAACCTTCTGAAAAGCTTTGGTAATAGCAAGTAACAACTCTTCAGCATTTACATAATCACTTTGCTGCACTTACAGGCTATTATAGAAATGATGGGGATTTCCATTTTGAATAATAACACAAGCAAGTGTTGTATTTGAACTATTAACCAACTGTATAACTTAACAAGAACATTCTCTCTTGATAGTTTATAACATATTCAACATAGTTTTCCATTAAACAATCCTCCCTGTCTTCTGCCCAGGTAAAACTGCTGAAGAACACTGCTTCTACAGTCTTTTCCACAATAAATATAGGAATAAAGAGATTTTAAAGATTTCTTTATGTTGTTTAGTATTGCATTACATCATTAAATCTATGCATGGACCTTATGTGTCTATATACAGCTCTATAAGTGCCAGCTTTGCCAGCAGAGCTACTTACTACAGCTGTTAGTGAGAGAAAGCACTTACTGTTGGGGCTCTAAGAGGCAGGTCCATCAGTGTGTAGGCAATCGCTCCTGAGTCATTCCATGAGTTGACTCCACAAATTTGGTGCAGATGGAGTCTTCAGAGAGACAAGATATTCCCCCTTTGAACGGGCTGGCAAATTACGCAAACGAAATATAAGCAATAGCAAAGAAAGCAAAGCTCTCTTCTGATTTTAAGTCAGCCAGTTTACCTTTCTGTGTGTGTGTAAAGCAGACTGTCAGATCCTCTGTCTGAAATAGTGCAAGATCTAGTGCAGAATTTCTCACCAGAGCCTCAGCTTGCTTTATTCCATCTTCAGCTTAGCAAAGGGCAGCAGCGGCAGCTTCCATTTAAATACAGAATCCTGCAGGGTCTGCACATGCCCAGTTTGTTGCTTGTTCCATCCAGATTCAGGCTTCATTTCAGTGGCAGTACAAAACTAATGCTCACTTGAAGCTGCTGCTGTTTGTTGGTTTTTTGTTGTTGTTTTTTTTTTTGCCTTTGACAGAGTTATGTCTGAATTTTAATGCTGTCTCTACAGTGTGTCTGAACAGGAAGAAGGTAAAAGGCTGACTTCACCAGCTCTCTTAAACATTAGACCTTACTGTTCATTTTCACCATACTGGTGAATTAGGTTTTTGTACTCTGCATTGGAAGAAGATGTATGTGTACAGTTCTGCTGAAACTATCTGAACTCAAATAGATTCTGATAGTTAACAAAGTGCATGTGTGCACTTCTGTCCTATAGAATTTAGGTTGTGGTTGTTTGTTGGTCCTCTTCTAAAAATAAACAGAAAAAAAAATAGAATAAAATCCACTGTCATCATCCTTCACTTCAGTTGAAAATAAACCAATAACATGCACTGATGCCTTAGGCAAAGTATAACAAATAACTTTTTCAAGAGTTGTTTGCTTTCATTTTTCATTGTGTTTAGTTAGAGCATACATGGGCAGATCCTTATTCACAAAGAACTTCCTTTACACTGCACTGTATATAGTTACGAATAACTCTGTTTCCAACTGAAGGCCCATTATAATGGTAAAATTAAGTTTATTCATTTAAAAAAAAAAAAAAACAACAAAAAACACTGTTCTAGCACACACTGCAGCCTGAGCATGGTAGAGTTTAGGCCTTCAGGCCACCGTCAGAATCACCCGAATGCAACATACTAGCTTCACTACAGTCAGTAATAGATGGTGTGATCTATTTCTGGAGAGCCCCTGTGAGAAGGTAGTGATTGTAACTGTGGGAACAGGATTCCCTCTACTCTGTATGGACTCCCCTTCTTGTGTCCCCTTCCTTCAATTCACACTTGCCTTAAATTAAGAGAGAAGGGATTGCATTTCTTTGGATGAACAGGAGGCGTCTTTGGATGAATGCGGATGTACATGACCTGTGTCTTTATCAAAAACACATTCCTGTAGTGCTGCGGATTCCCCTCCATTGACAGTCATTTAAGGAAGGTAGCATTTATCTTGTATCATCTGCTTACTGTTCAGTGGCCTGACGAAACAAGATAAATGTTACCTGTACAGATTCTGCAGGTTGTTTAGCTGAGAGACTTTAAAATTAACTATCAGTAGATATATTGTGAGAGACAGAACAATTTCTTTGAATATCACCATAGTGTTAGATACACCCAAGCTAGGTTTAAACTAGCACATGGGGCAGAACAGAGCTCAGATGTGACCAATCACCTGGCAAGTTTAACTTTGTTGTTGACTGGCATTCTCTGGTCATTTTCTAGGGTATTCTCTTTCCCTCCTGTCGAAGTCTCACATCGTACCCATGAATATCACTGTGATAACAGTTGTGGTGTTATGGGATGAACTTCAGAAGTTGATGTGAACTCAGAATCGCTGTTTCCTTGCTTTATCTGCTGCAGCAAGCAAATAGCACACTGCAGCTACAAGGCAGCAAATAATGATGTTGGTTTCCTCGAGGGACAGGACTTTCTGGAAGACAATTTTGTATTTTACTACTACAAAGGTAGGAGTCTTTCCAGAAAGCTACAATATGAAATTGCAAGAGCTTGTACTGATATCAAGAGAATAGAGTAGAAAGTACATTTTAATGATTGAAGAGTGGAGAAAGGAAGGAAAATGAGATCTCCCATTTTGAAGAACTTTACGTTCAAAGCACTATACTTTGTTCTTACCAATTTGACAACAAAATTCAATGGTAGGCATAAATACTAGATCAGAAATATTCTTTGACTCTGTATTCTAATTTTCTTGCTCAAATACTCTTAGTTTTCTTCTTTATGTCTCAGTATTGAGCAATTCCAACATTCAGTCTCTTTGCTTACAGTTTGTACGTTACATTTTCCTTTTAGCTGGGGCACGGGTTACTTTTTTCTCCCTTCTTATTCCATCTTTATGACAAATCAATGCGCTGAAATTTTTTCGTTCCCAGTTAGCCTGGAAACATCCACCTCTTTGGCATTTCTAGAGGGGACCATAATATATCGGCAGAGTAATCAAGTCATGGAGTAAATATTCCTTTATAAAGGAAATCAGACATTATAGAAACGTTGTCTTCTTGCTGCATTAGATTTAACTTTGTTGTACGTGCCTTTCCAGACAAATGAGTTGGATTAGTTCATTACCTGCTGAGACTCTATTATAAAAATATATGCAGTACAAAGGAAAGTTTCTACCTGTAAGAAGTGGATATTAGTCCAAAGTGAGCTCTTGATTTCACATCCTTCCTTCACCTGCAGGGGCTGCTTTTGTGAATGCTAAGCATTAGAAGGCTAGGTTAAATCATTTTTGAAAATCTGACCTTAACAATGACCTTAACCTTAATGCCCAATGGAAATGTCCTCATAAGGTTACAGTTTTCTGATCTGGTGTTGTAGCAATTGCTAGAAGCAACTCAGTTGATCTGTTCCATATTCGATGCCCCAGCTTCCTTGGAAGGAGAGCAGTCCCATCCTAGAACTGCACAAGGTGTGAAGTATGAGGAATCTCATTCTCTGTAGTTAAGGCTTGCTAACTGTGGCAAAGACATACAAAAACAAATAACCCACACGACTTTTTATTTCAAATTTTTGTCTCTTTTATGTGTGGTATTAAGCCAGAGAGAACAATTAAAAGTAATTTAGTGAGCAATAATTGTTTTCTTTATAGGTATAGCTATTTCACTTACAGTTATCAGAACCGTAGTCTTATTGATATAGAGGGAGAAGTTTGCCCTCTGCCTTTCCCCTGTTTATTCTCCAACAAAAGTTCTTTCCTTGCAAAATGAAATGGAGAAAATGTATCAGTTAATGACTCTTGGTATTTTCTAAAGCCACTCTGCACATCTTAAATTTTTCAAACACTTCCTCCGCAGTCTTGTGTGAATCACAGCGGAAACCCACTTGGCTGCTGGCCCAGGTCTGAATTGCCATGCAGAGTCTGTTCTAGAGAAAATAAAACCTGCCAGAATTCCTCTCTGAATTCTGTCACACTGAGGTATGGTGAGAACATCCCCCCCAGTTTCAAAGCACTTTCAAGTGCACCTTTTGCTACTAGTAATTAATTCCTGTTCATGGCTTTTTATAAGACACAGACAGAAATAGCACAAACATTCTGAGGTCCTACCATGAAAGTGAGAAAATTTCCTAATAGAACAAAAGAAAGATAATTCATGGGTAAAGATTAATGAAGTCCAGATGAATACAGTATTTCTTTCACAACCACTGGAAAGGAGTGGTTTCCTCCTCTTTGGCTGGGAGATCTGTGTGGAATTAAATTTTTGTTTATCTGCAGAAATTCAGAGTGGACTGGAGGAAAGGGGAACTTGATGCGTAGAAAATGAATAGGCTGCTGTTGGAAAGAGCTAGGAGGGTTGGAAGACCAGGGCTGTCTATGGTCAGCCAGGCATTATATCCCTGAGATGCCTTTACACAAAACCACCTGGCCTTCCTTAAACTCTCCTTATCCAAACCCAGGACAGAGAGACAGGAACAGACTATTCAGTAAGGGCAAAGTAAACTCTCACACTTTATGAGTGCAGATACATTTCTGGAATTGGAGATATCACAGAATAAGAAGGCACAGAACATGGAAGTTGTACATTTATAAGGCTTACTAACAAGTTATGATTTTTTTTAAAAAATTATTTTTATTTTTACCCCTGTTACAATGGGGAAAAGCATGTGATAATGCCTGTAAAACATTCTGGAAATAACAATGCTAAGCTCGATTTCATCTCACAAGTGGGAAATCTAGATGATGGTATGAGAAGAGCATCAAATTCCTTCTTGATTTGTAGAGCTGCTATTTGTCCTTTCTCCAGAGGCCTTTTCTCAGATTCACAAAAAAAAAAAAAACAAACCAACAAGAAACAAATCAAAACAAAACAACCACACCCAAAGAAAGAAACAAAACAGCTGCTTTTAATGCTTCAAGTACTGTTTTCTTATCCTCAATTAAAAGATCCACCTCATCCTGCTCAGCAGCTGACTAGGAAGTTTAATCATGCTCTGCTTACTCTGTAAACATTACATCCTCCTGCAAGTGGTAGGATAGCGAAAGGAATTACTGACTTTTCACATGAGAACCTACCCATTTTCAACATCTGCTGTTCAAAAGGCGCTACTGTGCTACATGGCTTAGTAGGAAAATACTGGTGATAAGTGGGCTGTTGAATTAGATGGTCTTGGAGGTCTTTTCCAACCTTGATGGTTCTATGATTCTGTAAAAGTCTGTTCCTCACAGCCTTCCTTCTACAATCCCATCTCTATCGGATTTGTTAATCCTGAGTAGTAGCACTCATCAGTGGTGCTAACTTCTGAAAACGTGCTTCTCAGAAGCATTTTCAGAGGCCTGCTTTTGTGCCAGTACCTACAACTGCTTAAATAGGTGGGTGAAAAAAAAAATTGTTTTATAAAGATTTTTCACTTTCCTTATTATTTTTGTCTCTTAACAACTAAGACCTGTCAAGTGATAATTGTTCCACTTCCTAGATATTTCTAAATGGTATACTGCCTTTTGGTATCCCAAATAACCGTGCAGGCAGAGAACTGTCTTTTATATACACCTCTTTTATGCTGTATTAATCATAGAAATTAATTTTAGATGTTCATGCCTGGAGAAACTTGGCAAGGGGCAAGAACATTCTTTGTAAATAAAACTACTAAACTGAGTACAAAGTTCTGTATGGCCATTTATGGGAATGTGCTCTTGGGACTACTCGAAAAATCAATAGACTAAATAGAAAATATTAAATCAAATCAATGCAGTTTCTGCTCAGCTGTGGAAGTGAATATAATTCACCTCATGGGTAGTTTTGATTTTATAGGATAGCAAAGATCTGTGGTGAACAGCAAGAACAGGAACCACAGGGAACAGCCAGCAGATGTGGAGCACTTCAGCCCCATAGCAGAAAAGTAAGAATACAGAGTGAGGCGAGCACAGAAGGGCCAGGCTAGGAGAGGCAGTGTAAAAGTGTCCATTCAGATGTGTTTTGCTAAACCTTAGCAAAGAAAACCCTCAGTTCCATGGTGAAAAGGATTCTGTCAGTGTTCTCTGGTTTGAATTTAGTCTGTGACACAGCATTAGACCTGTTCTTTATGGCAAGACACCCTCCAGCAGCTACTCTGCCTTAGTTAGTTTCCCTAGCAGTGTTTCCAGCTTATTCCAGTGTCTGATGGCTCCCATGTCAGGTAGCTTGGAAAGGTCTACCCACCTCTGTCCCTCCTGTCCTTCCTCAGAGTCTGAAGACAAAAGACGTCATGCACAGCACTCTCCAGCACAGCCAAGTTCAATCTGCAGTGCCTCCAGAACAGCTTGTTCATTAGCTTCATGGGCTGAACTTTCAAGTTCATTCCTCTCTCCTGCAAAGCCTACCCTTCTCCAGGGAACTTTGGTTAGACAAACTCATCTCAAAAAACTTCACTTGGTAGCCTCCCATTTCCAGTGGCCAAGTTCTTATCTTTCCAGCCCTTCTCACACGTGAGAAAGGAAGCAGATCATAATACTCTAAGCAGGGAAAAAATCTTATTTAAAAAATGATTAAAATAGTG